CCCTAGTGGGCTGCTGCAGCCCACTGGGAGCCGGGCACCCCCCATAGGTTGGCACCCTGGGCAGCTGCCTGGCTAGCCCACCCCTTAATCCAGCCCTGCTCCCGCTGACTGGGAGCAACTCAAGGTAAGCCCCTCCTGCCCCAGCTCTGACCCCTCCTCCCAAAGCCAGAGCCCCCTCCTATACCCAAAAGCGCTCATCCTCAACCCCACTCTGCAGCCCACACTCTAGTTAAATTGTGTTGGGTCATAGGCATCCACAATCTTCTTCAACTGGATCATGAGAAAAAAAAAGTTTGAAAACCCAGCATTAGGCAAAGCTATCAGATGAGACACCACTTGCCCAGCACCCCCTGCTGGGGCATCCCCACTGCAGTGGGTATGGCAGTGGTGGTTGAGGCAGACTCCCTGGGACTGGGTGTTCTTAGCACAAGTTTATTAATGTAGCTCAGGAAGCAAGTAGTGCCCCACAACTATGGAGGCTGGCCAGAGTTTCAAGGGCATGGTCTTCTCTTTGGCCTGTTGTGAGCATATCAAAATTCATGGGCTGTGAGGTATTCATTCACAGAACTCTTGGGGTTTCAAGCATAATTTGCTGTCTTCTCAGCATATTCAACACTAAAGTGTGCTAGGAAAAGCAGCTTCACATAGGAATAAGGGTTTGCGTGTGTTTTAATTTTTTTAAAACTTAATTGCCTACAGGGCAATGATTATTTATATTCAGAGAGCACTTTCAGCCCAGCGTAATCTTCTGCCACTTGTCACTTAAATTCATGTCACTAAGTATCCATGAATGAGTTTTTCTCCCAAAGGAAAATGGCACTGAACTGTGTATGGGTATGTGCTGCCCAACGCTGACGGAAACATCAGCAGTGAAAACAGTGGAGAATGGACCCTGAATGTTAATAAACTAGTTAGTTAATCCCAACAGTGAAAGTAACAACATTTCTTACAGGTACTGTCCTATTGCAGCCCAGGCTCCTGCCAGCTCTTTTGCCACAGTTCAGCCCGCTCTTGCCAGAGCTGCACACTAGGGCACACTTGCTTACTTTCACCTCTGGTTAATCCCAAACCTTCTATCTGCAAGAGTAGAGACCAAGCTAGTTGGGGCATTCCACCTTTTCTGCTCCATTTCCACCCAGCTGCTGAAGAGAAGTCTCTACCCTCTCTTGTTCTTGGCTCCTGGGGGGGAAAGGGAGGTTTTCTGCTACTATACCCTGGTGGTTCCCTTCTGTCCTCCCTATGACTGGCAGGGCAGAGATGTTTTGGCAGTTATTGCATTGCTAGGCATTTTGACTAAATTCTGCTCCTGTCCATCTGCTTGATCTATGGGTATAGGTCTGAGTAGGGAGTACTGCTTTGATTGTAACTGCTAGCTCTGCCTAGATAAGAGCAGGAGGAGTATCATTCAGTGATAGCAGCAGCAGGACTGGTTTGCTAAAGCCAGCAGGTGGCCAACACAATGGGCCCTTTCAGAGCGCAGTCCCTAATTACAGGTCATCATCTCTAGCTTTCCTCCACTAAGCTATTAGTCACGATTTATCTTCTTAGAATTTTTACTGTCATAGATTCAGTTTCTACTTAAAGAAACTACTCTAGCATAACCCTATATTCTAAAAGAATCACAGTTGAAGACATTAACTTTTTAATGCAAGATATTTATTATACAGTAGACCTCTAAAACAGGAAGCTGATGTCATTTGCAGTGAAAATTGTAGTGTTGAATCAGCATGGGGACAAAACAAAAATGTTGTGTGATAGGTAGTTTATCATATATATTGTAATTATTTGCCTTCCACAGTATTGATGCTTCTTACTAGACACAATCTGTTTTTAAAGGGAGTACCTTACTCAAGATAAATTTCACACTGTGGAATTTCCTTAAAGTAAGCAAATTGTCATTAACAGGGAATAACAGAAATATTTGTTGTGCTAGCCTCTCTGCTTACAAATTACTCTGTATTTGAAATATTAGATGTAAGCAGGACCTTTTGTGATTAGTAGGTAATAAAACCTTTCAGGGGGTAATTAATTGTTCCCTAAAGCATTTATAGTAATCTATTCTCTCACTTATTGGACCAAATTTATCCCTGGAGCAATTTCACAGATGTCAGTATTGTCACTCTAGAAATGAATTCTACCCAAACATTTCCTAAAAGTCATTCTATAATGGTGTCTTTTATAACCAATTAAATTATCAAGGCTGAGATTTGAAGTTTTCTGGATTGGGCCTTTTTTCCTTAAGGTGCCATTGTTGCCAGGACATTCTCTCTCATTGCAGCTCTAGAGCAGGCTGCTAAACTGTTGGGCATTAGACCAGGGCAGGATTAAGAGCGATCCAGGAGCCCACGTGTAGGCCTGGACCCTTCCTCCCCCTTGAAGGGGTAGTGGTTGAGGGCCTGTCTGTCAGAGAGGCAGAAGCATGGAGTCCCCTTCCTCCTACACACACTCTAGGGCTACGTCTAGACTACATCCCTTTTTCAGAAAAGGGATGCAAATTAGACGTATCGCAATTGCTAATGAAGCGGGGATTTAAATCTCCCATGCTTCATTAGCATAAAAATGGCTGCCGCTTTTTTCCCCCGCACGGAG